CTGAGCAAGGGAGCCATAGACAAAGGAGTATATGGTGTATGATTCTATTTATGTGAGAAATAAACTAATAAAAGAACCCAACAGTGTTAGAAGGCAGGATAACAGGTGCCTTTGGAGATAGTGATATTTATTTAGTTTTGTTTTTCTGAGACAGGATTTCTCTGTGTGGCCCTGGCTGTCCGGGAACTCACTTTGTAGACCAGGTTGGCCTCAAACTCGGGGATCTGCCTGCTTCTGCCTCCCCAGTACTAGAATTAAAGGCGTGCATCACCACACCTGCCATGTTGGTAATATTCCAATTCTTGTTCTGGGTGCTGGGTTATGTGGATGTATTCAACTTCTGAAAACTCATTGAATTAAATTCTATGACTTTTAAAATGTGTATAATGTGTTCTGAATGCATGTATGTTTGTGCATCACATGGGTGCCAGTGGAGAGCAGAGGAGAGTGGAAAAAGGAAAAAAAAAAACTTTATTATGAGAAAAGACTGAAGCCCCGAGTACCAAGTAGACAGCAAATAGTTAGCATATCTTTTCACAGACGTGATTTTGAATTGCCTGAAAATGATGTATTGTCTTTTTCCAGATCTCCCTGGAACTGTAGTTACAGATGGTTGTGAGCAACCATGTGGGTGCTGGGAACTAAACATACTTCATCTGTAAGAACAAATGCTCTTAACCACTGAGCCACCTTGTCATCCATTGGGATATTTTTCTATGCACATGCTTTTCTTTGTCTACACTGTACATAAACACAGTGTGAATAAGGAAACCCATTCAATCTGCAGTGTGAACAGATAGTAAGAGCTTCCATTCAAGAAAAGCAGAGAATGGAGAACACAGTATATCCAGTCAGCAATTCACTACTGCTGCCAAACTTCCGTTTCTTCAGGAAAAATGTGGCAAGTTCTTAGCAGAGGAATGCAGAACCCCTCCCTAATCTGTCTTCTAATTCTACAGAACACACATTAGTTGCACCTGCTCCTGGTTGGAGAGAATCCTGGGGTCTGGGGACTACCATAGGGTTGAGCAGAATGTTGCTGACCAGGCTTGAAATTTTGGAGACACATGATTCAGTAATCTAGTAGCTGTCTGGTCCATGTATAAGTAATCATGATGAAATAGCTTAACTAGAGAGTCCTTAAATTGCCTTGTATTAAATATTTCGTTTTTTCCAATTGTGAGCAGATGTGCAACAAGATACAGGCTTAAAGCAGGACTGTCTGTAATAACCGCAAACTGCATTTTTCCTCGTGTCCACCAATCATTCACTTATAGTTTTGAACACTCACAGCAACACTGAGAATTCTAAATTGAGGTATTATTTTCATCCTATTCTCCCCACCCTGGAGTCCTCTCCACAGACAATACATCATTTTCAGGCAATTCAAAATCATGTCTGTGGAAAGATATGCTAACTATTTGCTGTCTACTTGGTACTTGGGGCTTCAGTCTTTTCTCATAATAAAGTTTTTTTTGGAACTGAAGCACACAAAAGAAATAGGTCATTTAAACCTCACAGCAAGGCTTTCCGTTCACAGGGCTCCTGACCAGCTCAGTTCACAGGCTGCAGACTGAGATCCTCTTTAATATGTGCTTTCAAAGCTAACAGATTCTAGCCTAGATTTGCCATTCATTTGAAGGACTTTGCAGAAAGTTACTAACAAAAGTCAATATTCACCAATATTCTAGATAGTTCTCTCAGAATACAATTATGTTTGGCATGTGGACTGTGTTCAAGGTCCAGCAAGTGACAGTCATTTCGCAGTTTCATTAAAGAGAGTCACCACATTTCCAGTTCCACCATCAGTTCCCTTAATCTCTAGTTGAATTTGTCACAAGTTGCAGAACAGCCACCTCGAAAAGTCTCAGTCATGCTGTCTCAGTCATGGGCCAAGCTTGGGCAAAAATGGACGGAAGCAGACAGATCCTGTGGAAGCCATCTCTAGGATGCCCTTAGTGGTTCTGTGATGGCTCCTAGCAGTAGAACTGCAGGAAACTAGAAGAGGTGAAAAAGGTGTTTTAAAGTTTTATAAAGTGTGATAGCACAAGGAGATTTGCTGAAAGATTCTATACAAAGGTAATGGAATCAGGAAGACCTCCAAGAATTCACCTTGAACAACCAAGTGAATATCAGTGATAATTGCTACCATAGACAAGACTGGCAGAAACATGGGTTTGAGGATGAGGACCAAGTTTTGCAAGGGGTTCTTAAGCTTAAGATGCCAGTTAGCCATCAAATGTAGCTGTCAAGAAGGCTGTTATTTAGAGGTATCAGGAATTATAGGAAAGATGGCTCACTTGGGAAAATACTGCCATATAAGCAAGAAGACCTGAGCTTGGGCCACTGGCACCCATATAAAAGCCTGGCATGGTCGAACGTGTCTGTAATCCCAGTGATGGACAAGGGAGTCTTGGAGACCCGAAAATTCCTGGAGCTCACTGGCTGATCAGCTAGCCGTGCCAAACTGATGAATGCCAGGTTCATCAAGAGACCCTGTCTCAAAACTTGAGAAAAGAGATAGAGGAAGGCATTCAGTGTAGATTTATGACATCCATACATAAGCTAATGCTCACACCCACATGGACACATACAAAACCTTTTGGGAGTTGTTTGCGTGCAGCTGGGTTTTCAAGCACAGGACTGGATGCAGTCACTTAATGAAGGTGCTCAGCATCACTGCACCTTTTTATTCGTACGTTAAGCAGAGGATGTGAAGCCAGTAGAACAGACAGAACAACATGTACAGTTGTCAGAAAACAAAAGAAAATGCTTCGAAGTGTGGCCGTGCCTTAGGGTCTTATCGATATGAAGAGACACCATGACCACGGTAACTCTTGTAAAGGACAACATTTAATTGGGGCTGGCTTACAATTTTTGAGGTTCAGTCTATTATCAACATGGAGGGAAGCAAGGCAGCATGTAGGAGAATATAGCAGTGGAAGGAGAGTGTGTGTCACACTGAGCATAGCTCAAGTGTAAGGAGACCTTTAACCTGTCTCCACAGTGACACATTTCCTCAGACAAGGCCACACCCACTCCAACAAGGGCACACCTCTTAATTGTGTCACTCCCTATGGGTCAAGCATTCAAACACAGGAGACAATGGGAGGAGCCAAACGTATCCAAATCACCATAGGATGTTTGACTGCCAGAAGAGACCCCAGGTTTGCACGGAGATTGCCATTTCAATAGCATTGTGGGAAAGAATCAGGACAAGCATCTATGCAGGTAAGAATGATCAGGTAAAAAAGGAGTACCTGGCTTGGTGGCAAGTGCTTATTAAAAAAAAAGTCTGAGCCAGGCTGTGGTGGCACAAGCCTTTAATCCCAGCACTTGAGAGGCAGAAGCAGTTGGATCTAAGTCTGAGGCCAGCCTGGTCTACAGAGCAAGTTCCTGAACAGCCAGGGCTACGCAAAAAGATACTGTCTCAAAAAACCAAACCAAACCAAACTAACCAAACTAACCAACCAAATCAAACCAAACCAAACCAAACCAAACCAAACCAAACCAAACCAAACCAAACCA